ATATTCACTAACCCCACATCTGACAGAGGGCTGATCTCCAAAATATTCAAAGACCTCAAGAAACTAGTTACCAAAACACCAAATAATCCAATTAAAAAGGGGGTACAGAACTAAATAGAGAATTCTCAATAGAGGAACCTAAAACGGCTGAAAGACACTTACAAAGTGTTCATCATCTCTAGCCATCAGGGAAATGCAAATCAAAACAACTCTGAGATACCATCTTATTTCTGTCAGAATGGCTAAAATAAAAAACACCAATGACAACTTATGCTGGAGAGGATGTAGAGAAAAGGGTACACTCCTCCACTGCTGATGGGAGTGGAGAGGAAAATGGGAATTACCTCAAGATCCAGTAATTCTACTCTGAGGCATATAGCAGAATTATTTGTAATAGTCAGAAACTGGCAGCAACCTAAATGCCCCTCTACTGAAGAATGGATGGAGAAAATGTGGTACATTTACACACTTGAGTACAACTCATCCGAAAAAAAACCCCCAAAAACAAAAACAAACAAAATCCAATGATATCTTGAAATTCGTAGGCAAATAGATGGAACTAGAAGAAACAATCCTGAGTGAGGTAACCCAGTCACAATAAGACAAACATGGTATGTATTCACACACACACACACACACACACACACACACACACACATATATATATATATGTTTTTAGACATAGAGCAAAGGATCACCAGCCTACAATTCACACTGCCAGAAAAGCTAGGAGACAAGGAGGACCCTAAGAGAGACATTCATAGTCCCCTGAGAAGGGAAAAGGGACAAAATCTCCCAAGCAAATTGGGAGCATGGAGGGAGAGAAGAGGTAGTTAGGAGGATGAGGAGGGGAGAGGTGGGCATGAGGGAGCAGGATAATTGAGTCAGGCAATGAATAGAGGAAAGAAAGAAAAGAGATACCATAATATAAGGAGCCATTATAGGTTTTTAAGAGTAATCTGGCACTGGGGAATTGTTCAGAGATCCACAAGGATGACCCCAACTGACAATCTAAGCAATAGTGGAGAGGCTACCTTAAATGCCCTTCCCCGAGGGAAGATTATCCCCCGAGCTTGATGACTAACTTATATGACATCCTAAAGCCTTCATCTAGTAGCTGATGGAAGCAGAAACAGTCACTCAGAGCTAAACACTGAGCCAAACTCTTGGAATCAGTTGTAGACAGGAAGGAGTGATGAGCAAACGGGTAAAGACCAGGTAGGAAAAACCCACAGAAACTGCTTACCTGAACAAGGGGGAGTTCATGAACTCCAGTCTGATAGCTGGGAAACCAGTATAGGACTGACCTAGATTCCATGAATGTGGTGTTATTTGGGAGTACTGGGCAGTCTATGGGGCCTCTGGTAGTGGATCAGTATTTATCCCTCATATACAAATGGACTTTGGGAGCCCATTCCACACTGAGGGATACGTCCTCAGTCTAGACACATGGGGAGGGCCTGAGCCCTGCTCCAAAAGCTATGACAAGGTCTCACCCTCCCTGGGGAGCAGAAAGGAGATGGGATGGGTGTTGGCGGGGGGGGGGGCTGTACGGGAGGTCAGGTGGGTGCAGGAACTAGGATTGACGTGTAAAACAATCATGTTTCAAAATTAAATAAAAAATTATAAAAATCTCTCTCTCTCTCTCTCTCTCTCTCTCTCTCTCTCTCTCTCTCTCTCTCTCTCTCTCTCACACACACACACACTTACACATGCTAAATTGAAGTGTGTATCAAAGACTGCCTGAATACTCAACCTTCTAGATTGTAACTCTGATACAGAAATGTTTATTGACAATTCTTATTCCCATGAAATATTTTTGATTTCCTGGATTCATTACAATTGTAACAACTCTTGCTTCTTCAGAATCTAATTATTTCTTTTCAAGGACTGTTTTATAAAGATGTTCTTGTCATCATATTCCAGAAAAGAATTTAAATGTTTCTGTATGTAATAAAAACAAATGTAAATTTATAAATTTTTTTTCTTTAAAGCCATTATATTGTTTCATTGTACCAATTTTAGGTGAAATATTTAAGTACATAATTCTGTTTAGTGATCATGGTAGGACTGTGTGCACAGAGATTATGTAATTCTTAATATTTGTAAGTATGTATGCATTCATATTTGTATATCTGTGTATGCTCTAGATGGAAGTAGTTAGATTAGATAAACTAATACTGCTCCCTCTGTTACTGCTAGGGGTAATGAAAGCTTAGGGCCTGGCTGCAGAATGGATGCTCGGAGGATGAACCAAAATATATCTTGTTCGTAGGCAAACCTCAGCAAAGGATGAGGATCTCTTTAGGCCAGAAGGGCAGATCAGAAAAGAAATGACTGTCTCTTATTCCATCAGAGTTCATATAAATTGTTATAATTTTATTAGTTTTAATAATTACACTTTAGATCTGATCATCAATTTTATTTTTAATGATAATTGCCACCTGTGAAAACTAAGTTTCATTTTTAAAACGCATCAAAACATGAAGCAAGGCCACATTGAAGAGTGCATGAAACCTTGGAGCACCCTGACATGAAATCCATGAGATCTTGGAGCACCCTGACACAGCGAAACTAAATGAAGATCAGAGGAAATGCTGCTGTGAGTGTGTGAAGCAGGCAGTTTTCCTGAGTTTTCATCAAATTGTCTTCAACTCAGAGCATTCAGATAGCATATGCTGTACCTTTAATGTCCAAGTCAATCCTTTTATAGTTATGGAACACTTGTTTTGTGAGACACAAGACACCAAAGAGAAGGTACAAATATTATTTCTTACATATCTCATGTAGTGTCTTAAAGGGAGACTTTCCTTTATGTCCATATGGAAAAATGATTGTCTTCTACACAATTTTGAGAGATGAATGTTTAATGAGAAAAACATGAAATAAGAAAAAAGATGGGGATATGGTAATATTTTCACCTCAGATATCAAGACAGACAATGAGGAAGTAAGATAATTTATTCTCTCGAAGTTATAACTTTAATATCAGTGCTAACTTATATAGTCTTGAAGTTCCATTCATTCTGGAAGAGGGTTAAATTAATTTTAGTATAGTCACCAAAATTCCTATGATAGTTTCAGTCTAGAGGGATGTGTCACAAATTCACTTAAATCCTATTTTTTATTCCTGTAATATTATGAGAACTGAAATATTAATGAGATCAGATTCTTTTTTAGGAATGATTTCCAAAAGCAGAACTAATTAAGTACAACCACTCTTATTGAATCCATTGACTAAATTTCAAAAATGCCATTACATAAGAAAAATCTCTCAGATGAATTAGTAATAGAACAAGAATTCCTTTAAGTTGGAAAATGTAACTTGAAAGCAAAAAAAAAAAAATGCACACATTATTCATTGTAAAACTGTTTTCCCTATTGTTATGTTATGGGCAGTTTCCCACCAGCCTTGTCCCAAAGCTGTGTCAGACCCAAATAACATGCAGAGACAATGTATTAATTCTGCAACTGTTGGCCAGTTACTAGCATTTCTTATTGGTTATCTCTGTCTTAAATATTAACCCATTCCTATCAATTTAAGGGTTTCCATGTGGTTTTACCAGAGAGAGAGAGAGAGAGAGAGAAAGAGAGAGATAGAATGGGCATCTTATTCCTCTCATGGTCTACATCTTGACTACTCTCTTTTACATCTCCCAAAATCCTCCTTATCACCTAGTCCTGCCTACCTTGCTTTCCTACAGGTCAACAGGGCTTTATTCATAAACCAATAAGAGAAACATATATACAGAATGACATCTCCCATCAATGTTACCTTCTTCAGATGAATCAGTGGCTATTAGAATTACTGTAGGGATTAAAGGGGATATTTCCATAATAGTTTACACAAAAATAATAACTTCCACTGCCTAAGAAGCCATCACACCATTGGAGAAAATGAAAAGACTGTCTTGATCAGAGTCTTTTTAGATGCTCACTGTTACTGCAACTCCATTGTGCCCTGTAGCCCAAAAGCAGCAAGGGGAAATACAAAAGCTCACAGGAATAGCTGTGTCCAACACAGTTCATCATATGAGGTCACTTTTATATATTATTCATGTGTCATGAAAAATCCTCCTTTTTAACATTAAAAATGGCAAAAGCCAGCATCATTCAAGGTTCTTATAAAAACATGCTTTATGCTCCACAAGCTGTGACCTACTCATAGATCTTGGATACACTAACAGTGTTTTCAAACCCACAAGATTAATTCAGGGAAAGGAAAAATGAAAGGTCTAGAAGTTCAGATTTTGAAACTGGAACAGACATAATCTACAATCTATCTAAATCCGTTCTATAACAATCTGCTTTAGTTTTACATATGAGTTGCAAAATTATTGTCACGTGCCATAACCTACTATGAATGAGCTGTATTCACAGAGAACCAATGTTTCTGGGACACCACAGAAACACTTCAAAATCTTTCATTTTAACTATAGAGAGGTTTAGAGTTGAAAAGTCTTAACGATTATATCAATTTGCCATCTGTTTCAAAGACACTATGAATTCTTCAAATGTGAAATCTCTCCTGATTTGAAAAAAATAATACCGAAACTATATGTGTTAATGTCAAATATCAAAGTTGGTATGTGGTCATTGTGTGATGAAGGCTTCCGTGGGCTGCAGTGAGCTCTAGCTCCAGTCTGCCCTAGCTCAGTTATTATTCTAAGAGCTTTATGTTAAATGCAGGCCGTGCAGATGAAGTCATCATGCTAGTCATTTGCATTCATCTTTAGAATTAATTGAAACAATCCAGTCATCCCTGAACAACTGGTTCTTATGTAGGCATCAGCAGTTCAGATGTCCAAGGACAGTAATTCAGAATTAGATAATTACCTTGTTTTCCTCCTGTGAAATGCTAAGGACGAATTACTCACGATGCTGTTAAAATTGTAGTTTTGCTTTTATAAAAAAAACAAAAAACAAAAAACAAAAAACCAACCAAACAAAAAAAAAAAACAAAAACAAAAAACAACAACAACAACAACAAAAACCACTTACATCCTTGGGATAGGAAGTAGATTGGTCTCCCCTGCTGCGCAGCTGCTTCCTTCACTGTCCACGCTATACCCACTGCCGACGCTGCTGCCCGAGGAGCCGGTGGACACGGAGCTCTCTGCAGGCCGGTGATTGGCAGGTTTTGCTGCATGATGTGGGGAGAGCCAACACCACAGTCAACAAGTGAAGCTCACTTCTATCTCCAAATGTAAAATTACACATGTGCGTATTGCTCATAGAAAGGACCAGCGGAAACAAAATATTCTCTCTTCCTCAACCTGCCTTTTTGTTTCTTTAACCAGTAATGCACACTGGCAATATAGAATACCTTCACTTTTTTATTACTCACCAAAAAAAATTCTTGGGAAAAACATTCCCATTTTTAGACTCAGTTAAATAGTTTGTCATTCTTCCAGTGTTTTTGTTATTTGTACAATAGTGCTGTGGCAAGCAAGATGGGGGTTGGGAGACTTGGCAGAGAAATCATTGTAACAGAGTAAAAGAAATTGGGTAATTACTTTCCATGTTAATAGTCAATATAATAGTCAATAATCAGATAGCCTCTTTAGAAGGGAAAGCCATGGCAGAATAGATACTTTACATGTGGCTCTGACAACTGTCCACATGTTGTTTTTAAATCTGAAGGTGTTTCTTTCCCTTGGGTATTTTGTAATTGATATGGGGACTTGTTTCAGAGTTTTCATGTGTTTCCATTTTGGATATATGATTCCATGTTCCCATAGAAACATATTTATGTATGTGCTACTTGTTATGCAGTGGGAGCATAGCACTGGCATCTGGCCAAACTCTAGATTGAAAGTCCCTGTGACTTGCCCTCCTTCCTCTTGGGACATTAATTCCTAAGCTTCAGCTTCTTATTGGTATTTACAGTCTACAGGTTTGCTACAGTTCACTAGCATCTTGGAGCTTAGCTGGTCTTTAACAAGGATTTTACCTGATCCTAAGTCTAGATGTATTAGAAACTATGAGACTATTTAGCATCCTTTTCCTCACTACACATATTGCTGCCCCATCATTAGTCTTTTATTTGAATGTGTACATGCTCCTGGGTGAAGAGTTATATAATAATTTCATATGAGAAGTCTAAATATTACTCAAGGAAATCAATAATTATGATGAGTCTTAGGCTGGAGGACTTCTAACTAATATAGCCAAATAAAAAGAAAACTCAAAGAAATGATACAGGAAACTGAGAGCAGGTAGGGTAGCTACTATGAGGCCTTGGGAAAAATTTATCTTTTCCTCTACAACTTCCTGTTCAATTACAACAATAAGATCTTCTTACAAGATATCAAATAATTTCATATATGTTCCAATGGTGGTAGAATTCCACCCACAGAACAACAGAACAAAAAAGAATTTTTTATATAACTCAATTATATATCTGATGCTTATAAATTGAAAACTGCTACTTAAAAGAAGAAGGTCTGAGTAGTAGTCACCAATAAGACACAAGTTATCTATCTTCATAGGTCTAGATTTGTATAAAATAATAGTTCTAATATTTGCTAAATACTTTATTAAGTTTATGTAGAAGAAACCAAGATAGCATAATTAGTGTTAAAGAAAATGTTTAAGTTCATAATTAAAAATAGAAAGGTAACATGACTAAAATGTTAAATTATGAATGTGTCAACATTAATTAAACTTCATAATCAACCAATAATGATTCAGATTATCACATTAATTTAGACAAGTGAAAGTTTCCATGCTTTAAATTGACAGTAAGACATTAATAATCCAACCCACTAGAGTTTTTAATAGTGGATAATATAACACTGAAAGTAAAACATTAACTTTGTTAACCAAAAAAAAAAAAAAAAAAACCCAAACCAACTTCACTGTACTATTTTCAAAGACAATTAACAGACAATAATTTAAAACCACTTAATCTTACTAAGTTTAAACAACTTTATCTAAGAATAAGCACACTTCATATCAGAGTTGCTACCTTATAGGACATATGTCTATAGCAACTTCCACTTATTTGTGAATGTCACTTCAGTTATAATGGGCTTCATGCATTTCCCACTTCCTTTCCACCAGAACAATTTCTAAATCCAGAGGATCCATTACACATGGTCAATGGTTTATGGAGATGGCCACTTTCTAGTTTGAGTGATACTTGTTACTCGAATGCCACATCACTGGTAATCTTTAGATATTTGATCTCAAACAGTGGTCAATTAATATTTGATGAAGTAACAAATAAGCCAAAGAATGAATGGTGATGTCAATGATTCTGTCCTAAAACCAAACACCAAGAATGCCATAATGAATTACCAGGCATTATTTCATATTTTATGTATAGTGTGTTTTAAAGAAATTATACACATCTCTCATAAAAAGAGACAACTGATATAGAAGATTTTCCTTCCTTTTTTTAAAAAAAAAAAACCTGTTGAAATCAGTTTTTGTAGTTTATTAAAATAAGCAATGACAATTTTTATCTGCTATAACATGTGGAAAAATATAATCTATTGACCAGATTTTTAATCCCAATGCCCTCAAAAGCTAGTTTGATTCAAAAGGGTCTTTAGTGCTAATATACTAAATACTCCAAGGCATAGATTTATATATAACAAAAAGATAATGACAGGCCATGTACAGCATGTGAATATTTACATTGGAATGATGGAAGACAATACTATACAATGCAATGCTGTGTGGGAATCTTGTTCACAAATGCTAGAATTATTCATTTTCTATCCTGGTATATAGGCAAAAACTTTGAATTTGATTTAAGTTGAGTATCGCTTTGTTTTCCTGCATTTGAGTGAAATGACATAGAAACATTAAAAGCTTGGTCTTCCACAATTTTAGTATCTTTGACATAACAGCCTGAAATAGTTCACACCCACTTTTCCTCCCGACTCTTTGAAGCAGAGTTTCAGAATTCATATAATACTCTGCATAAAGGTATGCATCTGTATATTGCATAGAATTCATATAATATTCTACATGAAGGCATGTATAAAATATTCTACATGAAGGTATGCATCTGTGTATTGCATAGTAAGGTGATCTTTTTACAAGAGAATTGAGGTTTTTAACAAAAACCAAACATATTTTTGGAATCACTCCCAGATATCTATTTTCATTTTGAAGTGCTGATCACAGAGTTCCCCACTGCAGGAAAGGCTGAATGATACACACATGATGGGAATGCTTGCTGATGTGTGAAGGGCAACTTCGTAGAAAGTCCATTCGTTCTTGATACCTAGTATTGAGGAGGCATTTCAGGTAAACCTTTTACCTTTTGGTGGGCAATGCAAACTGTTTAAAATTATTCTTTCCCTTCGTCATTGCCTTTGGCTGTTTAATGGTTAGATGCTGTTATGTTTTATTATTTCTTGGTTGCTAACCATAATTAAATATGATACTATCTCTGCACATCTGTCTTTATCTAGTTTCCTCTATTGGGATGCCCTGCCCCCTCCAGAAGACTTGACTATGCAACATTATCACCCTGCTACCACATGGTGGCAGCACTATTCTCAGAGAACTCAGCAAATTGTGGAACTGACTGCAACTGTGGAACCCTGTCATTTGGGAGCTGGTTAAGGATGCAAAAAGTCACCTACGCTAGAGCCATCATTCCCCCGTGTGGGAAAACTAATTCCTGTTAGGATTAATGGCCGGTTAATTTGAAGTTGTTAATTCCTTTTTATATTACATCTACTTATCTCAAAAAATTAAACAAATAAAAAACGAGGGCTTTGCTTACTTAAGACTCAGTGCCCAGTATAGACTTAGCCGTGCTGCCTGGGACGTCATTATCACTGGACTTACAGTTGGGGCAGCAAAGACCTATTTGTCAGTATTTCCTGGCACAATTCCTTACCCTGGCAGCTTGGAGCTAGTTCCTGAATGACTTGATTTATCCAACACTAAATCTTATCTTTATAGACATAGCCTGTAGGATTTTAAGAATGTTTGAAATTCAAGAAAGAAATCAATTATTATTTTGTTTATTACAGTAGTATGATTGAACAGAGTTATTTATCTATTTCTGAAACCAGTCATTCTAAGAATTTTTTAAGTAGGTTTTAACTTTAGGGAACTTGTCTTCCTTTCTTTCCTCCCCTGCCTCCCTGTCTTCCTCCCTTCCTCAGTCTGTCATCCCTCCCTTCATTCCTTCAACTTTCTTTTCCTTCCTCCCTTCCTCCCTCCCTTGCCCTTCCTCCATTCCTCCCTCCCTGACTCCTCCCTCCCTTCCTTCTTTTGGTCTTGCTTCCTCCCATGTTACTGCTGCTGTTAGTTTTTGTACTTACTCCCCTGAAGGGATTTTCAGTTTTGCTTTGTTTTCTAAAATGCTTATTGAATTGTGGAATTGGCAGTATCAGCTTTTAAGTTCAAATTTTACTAGCGTTATTCAGTATGTTTACTATTACATTTTTAGGTATTTCCTATTACAGTTCAGGATTATTAATTTAAGGGGAGATGCTGCATTTTATAATATTTACAAGCTGAATCTTTCCTAAATCAATTTCAGTATTTTTTTAAAAATCAAGTTTGGAAACATTGTAGTTTCTAAACTGGAAAATGGTACAGAAAGCTTCCATTCTGCAGGAGTGTGCACATGCCTCATGTTATAAGTCTTCACAATGAAAATTATTGAAAATAAGTATCTCCAACAACCTGTAAACACTGGTGTTGAAGAATTCAAGGATGCCATTGAAACATCTTTAAATAACAAATTACTAACCAAACTATGTAATAGTCATTGTAAGTATTTCCTGTACAAATGACTAATGTGTATTTTATCATATACAAACTATGATCCATGAAGTTCTGCTCTTATTCTCCTTGTAAAACATGGAGATCTTAAGGTTAGTCACAGAGCTTTCTTCCAGAGATGCAGATAGAAAGTCTCCTTTGATATAGTACAGGAAAATTTTTAACACTCTTAATCATGATCAAATGCAACCCTTTCCATAATATTGTCTTAATGAAAGAAATTTTCAAGACATTTCAGTGATCACTTTGCTCTGTTTTTATCTAATACTACTAGTCACTGGCATGTTTTTTTCTATAATCAGTAATCATTCACTAGGGCATTATAGAAACAGAATCATTGTTCCCTTTGGGGTATAGAAGTAAGGGTGTGCTTAACATAACAAA